AAAAAAAAATTTCCAATTAATGTATTAGACGCAAGCTTCATTGCAATCGGCTTCTTTTTCCAGCTGAATATTTATTCAAAAAAACTTTAAACTTTCGACGGGATGTAACTCACCCCCGCAGTGATGCTACTAACACTTTCGACGGATCGAAAGTAAAGACCAAAAGTTCGCATAAATTCTTCGCGTAGATCAAGAAATGCTTGCCCATAGCAAGGTTCAGAAGCTTTACCTAAATCAAGATGGATATTGGAAGAAAATAGAAACCTTTTAAATTTGATTTTTATCTTCCATTTGTGAAGATGATTTCTAGAAAGAATAATTATAAACACAGTGTGTAGAAATATTAATGGCTCACTTTGTTGTTCCGCAACTAGCCGTGAAACTAATGATCTTGACAATTCCCTCAACTGTGGAAAACCATTTGTTAAAATTCTTTTGTAATCATCACTAATACCACTAGACTGTAATATTTCCTAGAAAAATAAATGTTAAGTGGATGTGAACCTGTCTTCAAAAGAAACTGAACCAGACGGAGGGAGAAAAAAACTTACTGCTTCCCACATGCCAATGTCGCTCAGGTACTGTAGTTCCGAGGAGATCAGGTCCTCGATGATATGTTTTTTTTTGGAGATATTTTCTTGACTCACGTTTTTGTCATAAGTTTCTGCCATTTCCAAACAAGGGCTTGGCGGTAAAGAACACCTACTTAAATCAGTAGGTGAAAAACACAAAACTTCACTACTACGAGAGCTTGGTGCTGTAGCTAGTGAAAGTCGCTTCGGCAAATCTGTTGGCCTGGGAGGAGGGGAATTACGCAGTGCAACGGCAGTTTTGGCAACAGTTCTGAGTTTTGGAGGAGGCGGACGTACTGGAGGTTTCTTCTCCTTTCGTGCAGAAGAAGATTCGGACCCGAAATTTAGGGAAGTACAATTTGTACCAAAAAATGCTTCTAAAGTTTTCGAATCAAAAGCGGGTCCTGCAAAAGAAGCTTTAGAAATAGCATCTCAATTTCCTAATAGTTATACTTACACTATGGAAAAAAAATAAACTGAGAGGGGGCTTTAAACGAAATGGGGTGATGATGTCACTTAGAAAAACAAAAAATGAAAGTTACCAAAACTTTTACCCTCTTGTTGGTCAATAGAGAGCGATTCATTTTTATCAGCTAAGGTGGGCCTCTGAATATCAAGCGACGCCCTGCTACTAACAGTATCATACAGAGAAGGTCGAAATTGCTGTGTTTCGAAAAGGTTCTCACTGTCAGAACTCTCTAAAAAACTAGATCCAGCCCGTGCTACGAAGCCCATGCAATATTTTCCTTTATTTTCTCAAAAAGTAACAGTTTTTTGTTCAAAGAAACAATTAGCAGTAAAATGCACGATAAAAACACAGCAGCTAGAATGCAAAAGATGAGAAACAGGAAAAGGGTAATCAGATTAGAGATTAAATCTAAAAGGGACAAAAGCACTCGCAGTAGCTGAACAGACCGAAGAGTACCTTCATGAGAAGACTCCTCATCATCTTCATTCATAAATATATTGAGAAATGATACAGGAATGATTCCAGTGCGGTCTCTGCCAGGGTCATAACAACGAGCCCATTCGTTGCTGACCAATTCAAGAACGGAAACACTTTCTCCGGCATATACAGTTAGTTCGTCATCCTCACGGCCGTTGAAATCATACAACACACTTGCAATCCTAAAAAGTGAATAAAAATTAGTCGAATAGTTTCAAAACAAATAAAATCGAGAGCGGTAAAAAGCAACCGAAAAAAATGAACTTCAAAGAAGATAAACAAAAGCAAATGATGTATGCTGTTTTTTGTACCCGAGAATGCTGTTTTTTGAGATTCGCCTGAGAGGTTTACCACCAAGTGAAAATATTCCTGGTACATCAACTATAACGCGAACGTAACTAGCAGGAAAAATTCCAACCTTAAAGAAATACATTTCATGGAATATTTATAAACGTTAAAAAAAACAAAATTCTTAGTTGAAACCCCTAATAACTGTGCACCACATAACTCATACAAAATCAGTGAAACAAAGTTTGGTTTATAATTCTTGAATGGCTTTTTAAAGGAGAAAAAGAAGCAAATAAATAAGTTATAGTATTTTAAAGCTTTAGCTACTGTCCTTGACTCACTTTTTATTAGGGGAGCTAAAATCTTTGTAATAGTTTGTAAAAAAAAAAATTAATTCTGAAATTACGAGACCTTCCCATTGTATTCCCCTTCAATCCATCCAAGCTCAAGATAACGACGAAGAAGTAAAGTTGATCCAGCCTCAAAGCTCAACTCTCCATCATTCTCGCCACTATAAATATTAAGTCACTGCCGTCAGGCACTTCCTTTTAAATTAGTAATCTAGCCGGACTCACCGGAAAGAAAATATTGCTCTAGCGTGTGGCCTGTTTTCCACGCAAGTTTGGTTGTCACTCTTTAGTGGTGAAGGATCATGCGTTACATCAGAGGGAACTGGAAAGCATTATCTTCAAATTGTCAATAGAATAAATTCCTCAAAGTAAGAAATAAATAATTCCAAAAAGTTTAAAAGGTCTAGAACATAAGCAATTGTTGGGGAGAAAAGTTTTTAACCTGAGCCAGTGGCAGGCGGAGAGTTGATTTGATATGTTGCTTTTTCACCTGTTAAGGTTAAACTTTTCTTCTCTTCCTTAACTGCGTCACTGACGACTGCTTTAACATTTCCTGGTAAAGTTTTATGAGCTCCATTGCATGACTTCGTATCTTTGTTTAGCTGAAATCAATAAAGTATTTCTAATAAACAGTACAAATTCCATTAGAAAACAAGCACCAACTTTTAACGGCAAAACGAATGTCCTCGGAAAAAGGCCGGAACGTCCTAAACGTTTGCCATTATAGCCAACGACAATACCCTCAGCCCAACCATTATCAATATTTTTTGAGACTATAATTACCTAAATTTCGCAAGGCATTAGCACGGTTATTAAATCGACAAATGTTTCTTTAAAAACCCATAATGTGAATCTGCAATCAAAAAATAAAACTTAGATATGTCACTCTAATTGGTTACTGCCAAAATCCTCTATAACTACAAGTAATAATTAACAAATTCAAAAAATCACCGAAAGAAAATAAAGTGAAATATTTCGTGAAAGGTAAAGAACATAAAAAAACTACCGTATTTTTCCCGAATGAAATATCCTCACGATGTGTACTGCTGTACTCCGCAAAAGAAACAACAAAATTTAACTCATCTTCCCGCAGTTCTGGAAGTTCTAAATTAGAACAGTTGCTACCATTTACATAGACCAAATCTCCATTTAATTTTTGCGCTTGATACCTAGAAAAAAAATCTGTGATAAGTACTCGTTAAAAATTGGGAACAATCGCTTTTTCGAAATCTTAAATTTGGTATATATTTTCAAAAAAAAATGTAACAAAATATAACTGTTAAAAAAAAATATCTACGCTAATCGTATAAAAAACGTCCAATGGAATTAGTGAAACGGGATTTGTCGAAATCTCACACAATTAGAGAGATAAAAAAGTGGGGCTTTTAAAAAGCAGAGTTTGCTGCTGAACTGCAGTAGAAATGATAAACCAAATCTGCTGTCAAGAGATATACATAATATTTGCAAAACAGAAATTAATTTTTTACCTCTTGAGACAGTGAAAACGTGGAATTTAGGAGAAAAACAAGAAGTTAATGTGCTAAGTTGAGTTCTTCAACGTTAACGATCCGTGCAAACTTCGAAAAATCATTTGATCTTCAAGTTTTTTCCTCTTCAATGGCTGTCGTAAATCAAAAATTTCTCTTATCGATTCAAGCAGAAGTATAAATGTACCTTTCAAATTAGTGGGAAAAAAACGGACTAATATTTACCCAAGAA